AAGTTCAAACAAAAGTGATTTACATAAACAAAACAACAACAAAAAACAAAACAAAAACAACAAAAAAGCTAAATTAAAACACGAACTCAAACAACAATTCGTATACATTCTCAATTATGAATTTCCAAATTTCTTCAGAAATCCAAGTTTCATTATTCTCTCAAATATATACATAGATCTGGCATTTTTAACATCTTCCTCTAAACTGAAGGAAATTTTGTAACAGATTAATTGAATATTAGATGCAGTATGTATTTTATACTTTCTGATCATTTCAGCCTGTAAGGTTGAAGCTGACAAGAGTTGGTGTGTGTCTTATCATGTGTTCTGTCGTTTAGCCTAAACAAAATGAATTACATTCTGACGTAAAAGGTAACACTTCCAGGGGATGTAACCAGGGAGAGATGTACATTATAAGGTCAACTCATTATTATAGTAAAAAGAAGTTGTCAGTGTTGTGCTGAGTTTCTGCTTCAGAGCAGGGCAGCTGTGTTTTGATTCAGCCCAATGTCTTACTGAGGCCTGCGTGCTGAGTGCTGTACTGTGAACCTGATTGGAGTCAGAAGATTGAAAATGAAGTTTTAAAGAAGAAATCCAGCAGATTCCTGTTTATTCGGACATCATTTTGAACAACACATTTTTCCAATAAGACCATTCCACAATCCTATTCCCTGGATTGAAGTACACTGTTCTTCTGAACTGGTATGAAACCAAGGCTTCACAAATATCTCTATCCCCTTGAGAAAATAACAACTCTCACTTTTAACAAAATTTACTTGGATGTTGGAAGGTAATATATTTTTGTGAGCCTTATACATAAACAGTAAAATATTATAATCAACCAAGTCATAAAATTTCAATATTTTCAACTGATAAAATAATGTATTTGATGGGTGGAATGTTTTCTGGTGATAATTCTTACTTTTCTGTAAAATAAAAATAGGATTTGTAATTGTTCTGCATGCTTTACCCCAGAAATTAAATGTGGAACAATTATTGCATTATACAACAAAAACAGAGATTTTTCAATGAAGAATTATCTTACTTTATACAATACTCCAATACATTTAGTTATTTTTGTTCTTAAATTATTAATGTGATTTTTCCATGTTAGCTTTTCATCAATGATGACACTCAGAAACTTCACCTCACTGACTCTACAAATCTCAACACATCGACTCTAAATGGAACACTGACAGTTCTCTTACTGTCACTGAATATCATGTAATTAGTCTTATCAAAGTTTAATTACAAATTGTTAAGCTGAAACCAGTTTTGTATTTTCACAAATTCTGTCTGTACCATCTCCAACATTTGTTCTATACCTTAACACTAACAAAAAAATGGAGTATCAACTGCAAAAAGAACACATTTTAAAAGTCCTGACACATTTACAAAGTAATTTACATTTAAAATAAATAACTTAAGTCCAAGTACAGAACCTTGAGGCACTCCATGTGTGACGTTACAGAGTTCAGATCTTACATCATTTATTTAAACAAACATTTTTCTGTTATCCAGAAAACTAGATACCCACTGTAATGCAGATCCTCTAATACTATATTTATTTAGCTTTTCAAGAAGAATATTGTGGTCAGTTGTATCAAATGCTTTCTTTAAGTCAACAAAAATACTAACACAAAACTGTTTTTGATCAACAGCTGTTGTTATTTCTGCAATTAACTTCATGAGTGCCATTGATGTTGAATTGTTGGCTATAAAACCAACTTTTAGAGCCAATGGTTACCACCGCTAATCAGATTTACTCTACATAATAATGGCTAGAAACCAATTAAATGTAAAGGCATTGAGTTATAATTTGATGTGATAGTAGCTGAGAGTCATTTAAAGCACATACTCTAAGTGATCATGTGAGTTCTATAAAATACTACAATACTGCATAAGACCGCACAATTGATCATTTTCAAGGTTTAACATAAACAATCATAACACCTTCATTTCTCAAGATGAGATCTACTGTAATTATTCTGGTAGAGGGTGATATGCATTTCTTGCAAAAAATAAATGCTAGACTTTAAACTAGGAAGCAGATCAGTTAAAAAGAAACAGATTTGTAATTTATAATATTTTCTTTAACAGCTGATGCTTCAAAATGCTTTCCGTTTTTTACCTTTTATTCCTGCGTACAACACAGTTTAACACAGATATCTCATGAGAGGTGGGAAAAGTTCAACAGTTCTACATCCTCCAATGTGTTGCCAGGAACACGAATACTCCAAATTATCATTCACTGAGTCACTGGGCATTTCTGCCTTCACTGCACACTGCAGATACTCATTTTGTGCTTTTCTGTGCTGCTGCAGTAATAGTCTCTATCATGGTTCTACGATACCAGATAGAATGAACTTTTTAAACACAATTTATTTTGTGAATACAATAACATTGTTCTTTAAAACAATTAATTGCTTATAGTGTGAAACAGGTTAAGCAATTGTTGACTTAAAAGATTTATAAGTCTAACTTTTATTGAATGATTTATGTTTCATGCTGTCTTTCATACCAAAGTTTTAACCTAAAACCATTTTAAGATAAGAAATAGCAGAGTTGTAGTAGTTTTGGTCAAACCTGGGAAATAATGCGTGCAATCTCATGGGAGATCTTGTGAGATGTATTAGCTGTAGGAGAATGTGTTGAGGATGACTCAGCTACTACCACATCAAACTTTAGCTCAGTATCTGTAAAAGTGACTGAATCCTAGCCTGTTGTGTGTTTGTTAGTATTGATTAGTTGTTACGGCCATCTTGGATTGGGGGAGGTGTAATTTCACATTATCAGTCAGCACTCATAGTATGATTTGGAAATTACTCACATATACTTCAGTACATTTTTAAAAATTGACTGACATAGCAATTTTTGTGGTTAAAATTACTTTGTTGTGGAATCCTCTTCAAACTGGTTTGACTCCAAAAGATTAGTAGTTGTAGATTTCAACCCAGTGGTTAATTTTCAACAGTTTTAAAATGTTTATTTATATGATAATAGTAGACAAACCTGTAATAATCTTATGTATTCAGATATCAATGCTGGACCATAAACATTTTGGGGCCATTTATTGATTCATTGTATGTTAGAATTACTACATTTTAAGTTGGTCATGTAGTTTCTGGTACAACAAACAATTAGGTTTTGTAACTAGTAGTTTACATAATTCCAAATAAGATTAGTTCTGACCGTACCAGTGACCCAGAAGTTTGTTGGGCTTTAAGGGTCAACTACAGCACAGAAACAGTCATAATGACTGTTAATTATTTTATTAGTTATTATTATTAGACTTTAAGATTAGCTTAGTCAGAAAAATTTCATTTTGGTTCTTCTCAACCTCAGCTCAACTTTTGGTACCAAAGGAAGTTCTGCTTCTTGAACACTGCTTGAGTTTACCATTCTCAGCTGGTTATCCTCTTACTTTTTAAGTTACTGTGAGTAATTGTGAGTTGAAGTCAACATTGCACATGGAGTTCCACAAGGCTTGAGTCTAGGTCCATTTTTGTTTAATCTGTGTATATGCTAACAAACGATGTATAGTTGTGTTTTCTGTTTCTGCTGGCCACTTTAAAGGGGTAGTCCAATCAATTTAAAGTGATTTCCTGTCGAACCTCATCAATTGTGACAAACAAACAAACAAACAAACAAACAAACAAACAAACAAACAAACAAACAAACAAACAAACAAACAAACAAACAAACAAACAAACAAAAACTGTTTAGCCTTTGGCAGCAGGCAATAATGAACTTATTTGCTGATTCACTCCTGTTAAAGATGGGCTGCAAAGGAACTAAATGCGAACAAACCAAAACGTTCTTCATGCTGGTGTTGAGACTTTGGAAAAAACAAATCAGTTGTTTGTTCACTATTGTGTATGTTAAAATTTTGAGCATGGTAGAAATGTAGTTGTGACTGTTTTTTCAAATCTAAATGTAAAAAAAATACATACATCAATGTATTTTATCATTATTGCTGAGTCAGAGCAATCGTGAATCAATTAATATATTTTTAATTAAACTTTTAGAAAGGAATTATTGGATAAACATCTACTGCTGATTATCCTTTGAAATGAGCACAATTCAATAACAGAACGGCCCAAATCATGGCTTTGGAAAATCCCTTCTTGCCTTGACAAGGAATACTTTAAGTACACTGGTTGGAGTCCTAACTGGGCACAATCTGCTCAACCGCCATAAAATGGTGATGGGACTCCAAGACAATGGTCTGTGTGATGCCTGCGGCATTGAATCAGAGACCTCTTTGCACTACTTAGGCCAATGCTTGGCTCTGAGTGGTCTAAGGGAAAGAACTCTTGGAGACCCCTTTGTGGATCCCGAGAAGCTTAGAACACTGAGGGTTTCTAACCTGGTGTCCTTCATCCGAGGGACAAAAAGGTTTGATTAAAGCCCAGTATCTTTTGGGGAGAGCAATGGGCCCACTTATGAGGCCCCCGCTCACCTGGGTTGTACCCATCCCCAATTACCAATACCAATACCAATATTGGATAAACATCTACAGCTGATTATCCTTTGAACTGAGCACAATTCAATAACAAAATGTTATAACTCAGCAAATTGTAGAGTTACTCTGATAAAATTTGGTGTGGTTCTTGAGTCATCCTCATCAGAAACTCAAGAGCTGACACATCTCATAAGATCAGGCATGAAGTAGGCTACTCTACAAAATTTGACAAAAGCTGCTACAACTTCTGTAGCATAATTTAATTTAAATCTCTGAAATAAGATAGACTAATAATAATATAAAATTGTATTTTTTCAAAGAACGTTATTAAAACTGTGTTTACATTTTTAATTTTATATTTTTGCTGCTTTACATGTTTTTAAACTGATGAAATCCTTTTATTTTTTTTTAGCTTCAGGGTTTTTTATTTATTTTTCTTTCTTTCTAGTTCAGTGGGCTGTCTCAATTCTCAGTTCTGTGATTGAAACGTCTCAAGCAGACCTGACACAACGTTACCTTTGAACTATCGCGAGATCTCAGTTGATTGACGAGAAGTGAAAACTACTCTTCGCTAAAGTAACTGAAGGTACCAAACTGACCCCTGCTTCAATTAAACATAGTTTTTTCATGTTTAAGTGAATTTTTACCGATACGTAATTTTCCCGACCTACGTAAAATTGACTGACTAATGAAGAAAGCTGAAGTGAAAGCAAAATAAAGACAGTTTTGCGCGGTTACGGTGGCGCTCCGGGATCATTTTGTTGGACATTGTTAGCAAACAAAAGGCGTGGTTTTATGCTAAAATTGTTCCAACTTTAAGCTAGATGCACGCCGCGTTTCTCGACAAAGTTGCGCCGCTTTCTTACAGAGGTGTACTGTCTCTTTAAGGCCTCTCGGGCAGTCTGTTTCGTATCGATCAATCCACCATTTTCCAACACACAGCTCCGGCAGCGCGACACAGAAGAGAGCCACCCCTCTACCTGGAGAGGAAGCCAGGGGACCCGGGGCAGACATGGCAGCGAACATGTACCGGGTTGGAGGTAAGAGACTGGAACGGGCTACATTTTACAGGCTTTTCGTGTTTTTCTACGGCACACTCGCCATTTTTTCCACGCAGGCTCTTAATGCACTTAAACCGCGGTCCGCCTTTTCTTCATTTTATTTCCCTAAAGCTAAAGAGATGATGGTTACTCTGTGAAGAGGAGGAGGATGGTGATGAAGAGCAGTGGTTCCTCTTAAACATTTTCTTCTTTTGTTGTTTTTCTTCCATTTTTGTGCCCCGGCTTAAACCCAAAGTCTGACTTCAATATATGATCGCAGCTAAAGTATTTATTGTGGTTTCATGAGGTAGCATGGTAAATATATTCTGAAAGTTTTGGGTGCTCTGGAACTATTGTTCTGCCTGCTGGCTCCTAAGGAACACCATGGGTACTCTACTGATGTGCAGAAACCGCATAGGACTGACAAAGCATCATGTAGTGCTTAGAAAAGGAGGGAGACAAAAAGTTAATAGCTGCACTTAGTTTTAAGACCTAAAAATAGTTAAAAAAAAAGTCCATAAAAAATCCCATTATGCTTTTACACATCAGGCTGACTTATCTGCCTTTTTTTGTGCAGTCATCTAATTAAGATTCCTGATTCCCCCTCCCACTCATTTTCAGCTACCCTGAAGGTATAAAAGGTGTAAAAATACACATCATGTGGAAAGTTACTGTAACAGCACTATCATTTGAAATTGAGGACCATTTGTAATCTTTATTTGTGGTGGTTCTTGTTTTTCTTGGTGATTAGATTTCAAGAAAGGTCCGATACAGATATAAGCTGAGTGGAATAATGCACTGTATTATTGGTATTGCCTGTTGCAGGAAAATGAAGGTGGGCGATATTGTTTTTTGCCAATGAATGCAGAATATCACATGAACCACTGGACAAATTGGATTAAAACTTGCTTTGAATAGACATTACATGTACATTCACAGTAGGGTTGGGCATAATCGTATCGTGTGCAATTAATCGTCAGAAAAACATCAATCGATTAGTTTTTGGCACTTGATGATTAATACGATTAATGCCACCAGGCAGACTGACTGGGGATTACTCCGGTCAGTCTGCTCAGTGCTCCTCTCCGCTTCAAATATGATGATCATTAAAAATAAAGTTCTGTAATTTATTTATCTATAAACACAATTTAAAATATGATGTATAGCCTGAAATCTGTAATTTTCACACAGTTTGGAACATTTTTTTTACAAAGATCAAATCTTTCTCACTAAATTGGTCATGTGACTAGGAAGTAAGGGTGTCCAGGGACTCTACGACATTAATCGTCAAATTAATCGTTATCGACTAAATACCACAATTAATCGTGATTAATTTTTTGCCAATATTGCCCAACCCTAATTCACAGATGAATAACTTTTTAGCCAATACATTTCAACATGACTGCCACAGCCAGTGGATATTTAAAAATAGTCAGTTTTACAGATATTGATTAAAATTTCAGTTTGGTCGTTTCTGAAACTGATTCCCAACACGTTCTGAGACCAAACAAATTGTGCAAAGTCTTTGTTCAAAATTTATCTAATAACTATAGGCAGTCAACTCACTTTTAGCAAAATATCACATGGACCACTTGACAAATATGAATGGAACTTTCAGGTGGTAACGATCGAACGTACGTTTGTGCTTGATAAACTTTTCGAGCCAACCCAATTCAAGATGGCCACCACAGCTAATAAACATTGACCAGCTCATAAATGGCTATAACTCCGTACGTTTTAGAAACCTTGTGCTAAAATTTGATGTGATAACAGAAACATTCTCAACACATACTCTGAGTGTGACATTTTGCAATATCGCATGGAGTTCACAAAACGACTACACCTTCTGTCATATCTTAACATTCATTAAGATAATCTCATTTTCTCTGTTCTGAGAGGTGGTGGGCACTTTGCATCTCTTCAAGGAATGCTATGCCTTTAAATATTGTGTTTCTCAGGCATATAGTTTGATTCTATATCAAAATCAAGTAACTATGTCATCTTCAGTTGTTTCGAAAATGCTGTTTGTATAAATCAAAAATAAATTTGACTTTGCATCATAGCCATTTCTAAACGCCTTGAAATTGGTCTCCGTCTCTTCCGCCTCTTCCGTCACGCCCATTTCTGCACGTCATCACAACAATGTTTTAATGCCGTTTACAACCTGGATCATTGTAGCCTATTTTGTTGTAATAATAATAAAAAAGCAGCAACATTCAGTATCAGTTTTTGAAAATTTTAACTCAGGATGCAATTGAACCTTACCGTCAGACCGGAAAGTATGTTGAGGTGACGTTTCAGGTATTTAAGATGCCTCCCAGTCATCCTCACATGCACACACGTCAGTGTTAAGCTAATTTATTTAATACTAAAATACGGTGTAAGCCAGCTATACCACACAGACTGTAATAAAGTTATGAATCCTAACCGTAGATGACAAATGGAGCAAACAATGATGCGAACAAAGCAACATGAGTTGTATTTCAGCTGACCTGGGCAGACCACAACAGTGTTTGTGTACTTCTGAGTGTCAGAATTGCATCGTCTTTTAGTGATAATCCTGTTATTAATCCACGTAAAATGGCACACACAAATATTTAGAAAAATAAAACATTTTCGTCAAAAGTTGATTTTACACGAAATTGCCCCTGTAGTTTATATTCATGTTGTTTTTATTTAATTTTTTTGTACTTTAGGATGGTATTAGTGGTCTTGTAGTTCCTTTTTTAGAGGAAACCAATAATGATTATTTAAAAGTTTAGGGCATGTTTACATCGACAATTGTTGAGTGAAACATGAACATGGTGGCTCTACTTGGCTCAGGTACCTGTAACCAGAGAACAGGATTATGTCCAGAGCAGGGTGAAAGGTTAACACCTAAATAGCTAAATGTTGCTTAATTTGAGACATCTTTTTATTCTGGCCAGTTAGGCTCGCATCCCTCGTTTCATGGAAACTAATTGTTAGCGATTTATTTTCTTTCCTGTCTGCTTTATGGCTTTAAGATGGTGTGTTTTGGCCCCCATACTGCTGCACTGCACTCCTGCAAATTGAGTGTAATCAATCAAAAAGGACCAAACTGCTCTCATTAATACAGTAAATTGTTGTTTTACAGGAAACATTAAAATATTTGTAAAAGACTAAATTGGCCCAAATGAATGTAAAACCACAAAGCATAAAAATCGCATTACTGAATAAACATACATTTAAATAATTTCTTTTCTTTAATTATAATAATTTGGACTAAAAAAAATGCAGTCCTGATTTAAATGAAAAATAAACCAAGTCGTCTCCTAAGATCGGTCAGCGCAGAAGTACAACAAAGCTGAATCCTTGAAGAGATGTCTGTAACTTTGCAAGACAATAAGGACCGTCCTGGGAAGGTCCTGACTTGCTTTAAATGAGCAGTGGACAAAAGCTGCCTCCTCCAGCCTTGATGTCTTTGTTTTTTTTTTGTTTTGTTTTTTAACCGTGCCGGCTTCAAGCCATTCATCCGAAGCTTGCAGCCTCTTTTCCTCATGCTTTTCCTCCAAATGTGCTTGGGAGTGTCGTGACTAAGTATGAACCAGTACATCAGATGAAAGATTATCTCAGTGGTGTGGAAAGTGGACCAGCTGGAGTTTTTGCTGGCAAGATCAGAATCTCTGAGACTGGATTCAAAAGAATTGTTGAGGTTTTGAGCTTTTTAAGGTAGAAGAAAATCAGACAAGCATTCAAAGTGGAAACTTTGCAACTAGGCATGTCACAATAAACAATAAATCAATTAATTGTTTGATAAATTACATTGAGGGAGATGAATTAAAATGAAGGCAATTTTCATTTGCCTGCTTTTTTGTTTTCTTCATGTCTCCTTCGTTTTACTTCTTAGAGAGACGTGAACTCTGGTGTCAGGTATTTGCCAGGCGCATGGTCTCTAACCTCTGTAGCATGAGAGCCCGTGAACAGGCAGAGGAGCATCTTCAGGTTTCTGAAGCCTTCATACAGCTGGCGATGCCTTGGGATTGCCGACAGATGTTTTTCTTTGTACACTTATCTAAATTTTAATGTAAACTTCCATAAACAAGGGGGTTATATCATTATATTAGTTTTATCTGGTTTCCAACAATTTTGTTGTTTATCGCAATTATTTCTGAGACAATTTATCGTCCAGTAAAATTTGTTATTGTGACAGGTCTCTTTGCAACGTTTGAACTAGGGTTGGGCAATATTGGCAAAAAAATTAATCACGATTAATTGTGGTATTTAGCCGATTAATTTGACGATTAATCCCCCAGAGTCCCTGGACACCCTTATATTCTAGTCACATGACCAATTTATAGGGAGAAAATAGGCTCTTCGTAAAAATCTGTTCCAAATTGTGTCAAAATTACAGACTTCAGGCTACACATTAGGGTTGGGCGATATTGGCAAAAAAATTAATCACGATTAATTGTGGTATTTAGCCGTCAACGATTAATTTGATGATTAATCCCCTGGAGTCCCTGGACGCCCTTATGTCCTAGTCACATGACCAATTTAGTGGGAAAGATTTGCTCTTCGTAAAAATCTTTTCCAAGTTGTGTCAAAATCAGACTTCAGGCTATACTTCAAATTTTAAATTGTGTTAATAGATAAATAAATTACAGAACTTTTGTTTAAATGTTTGTCATATTTGAAGCGGAGAGGAGCACCAAGCGCACTGACCGGGAAAATATCCAGTCAGTCTGCCTGGTGGCATTAATCGTATTAATCGTCAAGTGCCAAAAAATAATCTATTAATGTTTTTCTGACGATTAATTGCAGACGATACGATTATGCCCAACCCTAGTTTGAACTTGAATGATGATTAGAAATTGTAATAATACAGTAGTTTCAGTACAGGTAATGGTTCAAAAGCATCCTGGTGTTAATGATAGGGTTGGGCGATATTGGCAAAAAAATTAATCACGATTAATTGTGGTATTTAGCCGATAACGATTTATTTGGCGATTAATCCCCTGGAGTCCCTGAACACCCTTATG